TTTTCATCTGTAGCCATTATGTGTTAGTAATTATATGGATAAGATGTAATTGCAGGTTCTTTTGTGACGTTTTGGTTCTATCGTCCTGGAACAATGGGAAGATGATTTGGAGTGCATGTGATTAGACGAGGGTTAATTAATATTAGTAACAGGATTTTGAAGAGAGCTTTAGTCTAGTTGAAATTCTTGGGGAAACTTTGTTACATTTTTTGCTATTTTCTTCCTGTGCAACCCAAGCATTGATTTCGTTAGTTTACTTTTTTATCTTTTGTTATTAAAAAAAACGGGTGTGTCTCTGGTCCGTTCCGGGTTTATTAGGGCTAGTCTGCTAGTACTTTGTCGTTGTTCTTAGAGTGCTAGTATTAGGGCTGTTTTCGTACTATCTTCTGCTTCGGTTTTTTTAGTACCTTGTCGTTATTACTGCTTATTGCTTTCTTCCATCTATTATGTCTGGTTCATACATTGTTGGTATCATTTTCATGGCCTTGTTGTTGATATTTGCTTGTTTCTATCCTTCCTCTTAAGCCGAGGGTCTTTCGTAAACAACCTCTCTACCTCCCCAGGGCATGGGTAAGGTCTGCGTACACATTAGCCTCCTCAGACCCCACTTGTGGGATCCGGTTGTAAAAATAGCACGGTATAGCCAGTTTTCGGACTGGTCAATCAAAAATAGACAGCGTTTACCAAGTCAATGAAAAATAGCCACTATTTTGCTGCAATAGAGACCGGTCCAGCATAATATACTGGAGTTCGGTGCACTTGTGTATGAACTCCAGCATATTATGCTGGACCGGTATACTTTGCTGGCTCCAGTATAATATACTGGAGACTGGAGCACCGGTGCTCCAAACTCCAGTATATTATACTGGACCAATATACTTGCCGGAACTCCCTGGAACTCCAGTATATTATATTGGAGTTCTAGTGTACTTATCCTGGAACTCCATCATATTATGCTGGAGTTCCAGCATACTTATCCTGGAACTCCAGTATAATATGCTGGAGTTCAAGTAAACTTATGCTGGAACTCCAGCATAATATACTGGAGTATTTTTCGGGTTTTGAACAGTGTTTCCGCTCAGATTTATCTTTACATAAATAGTGGCTAAATTTCGATTACTTTTGAAATTGGGCTATTTTTGAACGACCAGTTGTAAATTTGGCTATTTTTGAATTTCTCTCGATCCGATTGGGTTTGTTGTTATTAAAAAACGGGAACAGAGCTGGATTTATTGTTGAAATGTTACTTGCTTCTTCTTTTGAGATGGAACTATGCTATGAATTAAAGAACAGTCGAGAATAGCAATTGTGTCCTGTTTAAACTCGTAAATCCAATCAAAATCACTATATTTGGTACTTCAAAGGAGAGGTTCATATAGAAGCAATTATTTTTTTTGTTCATGGCCCCTTTCTTGCACAAACAATAAGTAGCCTTGCCTCGAATCCCTTTCGTTTCATCATCTAACATATCATTGTGTCCATAATCCTTTGCCACAAATTAACAAGCTGGCATCAATCATTATTGTCTGAACACAAATATCAATTTGCATGTCAAATAATTATGAAGCGAAGTCTTCATCAAGTCTTGTAACATTAACAAAAGAGTTCCAATCCTATGTAGAATAATCCATAGCATGTCAACTTTCGACAGGCTATAAACAGATATTCAAATTCTGAACTCATAATTTTAAAAATAGAATGTGTTTGACTAAACAATTTTTGGCGATACACCCTAGGGCCTAGGCTAAAGCAACAATGAGTATCAACAAACTTAAGCTAGATTGAATTATCTACAAGGTGGACTTTCAAAGTTATATCAAAACGGACCTAATTATGAACACGACAAATTAAGGAAATTTACTGTTTGCTTTTTCCCTTTATTTCTCGGTAGATTGGATTTTATTCCTTGTTAAACCAAAAGCATTATCCTGTGATTTAGAGTATATACTTGAAAAAGGATCTTAGACTAAGTTTGTATTTTGACACTAACAATGAATAAAAATGCTAAAATTCACATAGACATTAAAAAACTTAAAATTAAGCATACACTAAAAAAATAAAGGGTAATTAATATAAGAGGCTATAGTACACCTTTTTTACGAGAAAGGCATTAATAGCCTTGGCGAATTTTTCTCTCTGTTATGGATGCCAGTAATGGAAATATTTTGGGTGATGAAGAAAACCAGAGTATTTCCTTTGGAAGTAGTAACAAAATTCAACCTATCACTTCTACACAAAAGCAAGTGTTTTTATTTTCTCTTCATTCACCACTCTATATGCTTCAAAAAGTATTTTCTTGGTTTGATATAGTTTATATTTATTCTTAACATGTATGGTGTTTGGCTTTTTATTTATTTATTTACAGCTTAGATGACGAAAAGAAGAGGTATACTTCTCTCACAATGGCTGAAAGACTGGGCTTGCCTGACTTCTTCTCTTTAGATGTCAGTATATTAATTCCTTCTCCATTCGTTTCATTTTATATGATGGCATTGATAAAGTATAGAGTTTAAGGAAAAAGTATCGACACATACCAAAAATACTTACAACTTGTGGTTTGTAACATACTATAGCATTTTGTATAGCTACAAAAACATATCATTAATGGCAACTGAAAAGTTTAAAATTAATAATTTTACATAGAAAAATGTACCATAATTTTTTGGGACAGACTATAAAAAAAATAGTATCATATAAAATGGAACATATGGGATACTTAAAAATTTCGATAGTTGTGTAACACTGACTATATATATCTCCTTGAATGTCCCGGTGAATTTTAGCTATGCACAAATAATTTTTACACTACCAACGTAATTTAATTTATTATAACAAGTTACTCGCCGTATTTTTAGGTTATCAATTTACATTCATTATAAACGATTATGTTTAGTTGACTTTTAAGTAACATGTTGTTGACTTGTTTATATAGGTTTGGCGAGCATCAGTTGGAGAGCTTTTAGGCAGTGCGGTTCTTGTGTTTATGTTGGATACCATAGTGATTTCCACACTCGAAAGTGATGTCAAAATGCCAAATTTGATAATGTCAATTCTCATAGCAATTACACTCACCATTCTAATCCTCGCCGTATTTCCTGTGTCCGGTGGCCACATTAGCCCTGTCATTTCCTTTTCCTCTGCTCTTGTTGGAATAATATCAATGTCACGAGCTATAATTTACATAACAGCACAGTGTCTTGGTGCTATTTTAGGTGCACTTGCACTCAAAGCTGTGGTGAGTAGTACCATTGAACACAGATTCTCTCTTGGTGGTTGTACCATTACGGTAAGGGATCTTTACACAAATAGCTGCTTGATTTCACAGTATATTTTTTTCTAGCCCGATATACAAAGTTTATGCACTGATTATACACGATTATATACATATATAATATGAATTATACATATATTATACATTCGCCTGCTATTTTTAGTTGAGAAATTTTCAGAAACCACTATTGTTTAGTGGTTATTAACTTCCTATAGCTACCATATACATAGTTACTTCTTATAGCTACTATTCAGTTGTTACGGTAGTGTATTCGTTGTATTCGCGCGGCTGTGTTCATGAATACAGCAGCAAAAAGTGCCTAAAAATCAGGGTAGTCCAGCTGTACGCGCATGTATTCACATGTATTCGCGCCATGTATTCATGAACACAACAGCAAAAAGTGCCTAAAATCAGGGCAGTCCAGCTGTATGCGCATGTATTCACATGTATTCGCGTTGCTGTATTCATGAATACAGCAGTAAAAAATGCCTAAAATCAGGGGAATCCAGCTGTATGCGCATGTATTCACATGTATTCGCGCGATGTATTCATCAATACAGTAACGACAATCACCTTAAATTTAGGTATGTCCAGCTGTCTAAGAGAGAGAAAAAACATAAATAGCGTATTTCATGCCTCAATGGTAGTATATATCATAAATACTTATTTTGCTATAAAATATAAAAGGTAGCTATAGAAAATAATATTATCTTTCAGGTAATTACATCAGGGACCAATGGGCCAGTCACTGTGGGCTTGGAGATAGCCCAAGCATTTTGGCTCGAGTTTGTATGCACATTTGCTCTACTTTTTGGGTCACTTTGGATGGCCTATGATCATCGCCAGTCCAAGAAACTTGGGCTTATTACTGTTATGTCCATTATTGGGCTTTTAGCGGGCCTTCTTGTGTTCATTTCAACTACCGTTACTGCTAAAAAGGGATATGCTGGAGCTGGAATGAATCCAGCTAGGTGTTTTGGAGCTGCAATTGTAAGAGGAGGCCATCTCTGGAATGGGCATTGGATCTTTTGGGTTGGGCCTGGGCTTGCTTGTTTTGCTTTCTACTTTTATACAAAGATCATTCCTCCAAATCATTTCCATGCTGATGGATACAAGCATGATTTGTTAGCTATAATTGAGGCTTTGTTTCGATCCGAGGCATAATGGTTTTTGCTCATGTTTTAAAGAGTCATTTGGTACACATACTAGTTATGCAGAGATTTGTTTGCACGGTGATTAATAATGAAATTATATGTCGAGGAATTATTAAGCAGTGATTATCTACTTTAAAAGAAATATCATTTATAAATAGTTAAATCCTCATATAACTAATACGCGTATCCTATTTTACATTTTATTTCACAAAAATTAATACATAAATTCTCAAATAACTCTACGAATATTATTTCATATTTTCAGCCAAACACTGTTAGTCATAAAGTGGTTGTTTTTTTATGCAGCCAATCAAATAATATCTTAATGTTATGTTGCGACTAACTAAAATACAACAAACGAAACGACCCCTAAGGAAAGTGCACGTTGTATTACGCAATAACCAAAATGGAATCCTTGGGTGACAAAGCAAGAAGTGAAAATTCTGGGGAAGCTTTTTGGTTTTTGTTCTTTTTTTATTTTTAATTACAAAAGACACTACTTTGTTGTGACTAATAACTAATACAACCAACGAAATGACCCCTAAATTTATTGTCTTTATCGAAGTGGTAAGCAGTAGAAAGAGAAAGTCCAACACTTACATCTTATTAAAAATCGAGGGGATAGCATGCTAATTGAAGAAAAAGATCCCTATCAATGGTAACATATAATTTATACATTGATTTGATAACATTTACTTGTCTATCTCAAACAGCCGCATATGACTAATCATCATAGCCCGACTCAATATTACAAAACTGCACATGAACAACACAGTGGCACTTGATCACCATGTATAAATACGTGCTCCAAAATTGACGAGCACGGATTGCAGTACAAGGGCTCCCTCAGTTTAGATGCTTTTCTCTTGCTTCTTTCTCCTCTGGCATCAAGAAAAGTCACCACCCAGTTCTCCAATTTTCATTAATATGTCAACTGGCAGCTACAGCACTCTGTTGTATCATGGTGATTAAACCAGAGCATCAAATCATTAAGATAATGTGATACCTAGTTTTTATTAGCCTCCTTGTATGTCTCCTAATCTAAGGACAAATTGCCTGTCCGGATATTACGCTGCTGATGGCTTATTCCTTTTCTTAGCCGTGTCTGGGAGAAGCTCAGATCTGTCTGTTCCCAACTGAAAGGGGATTCGAGCTTTGGCTGGAACCACTTTTTCACAATAACACCATTGATTCGAATCTTCCCATACGATTCATTCCCTTGATAAGGCAAGCCAAGCCTCCTCAAAAGTGCTGCAACTGCCCGGTTAATCCTGTTGACCAAATAAGAGCATTTTGAATGTTATGTCATTAGTGCAGCTCCTACAATGCTGTATCGAAGCCTTCCCAGAAAAAAGAAGGTAAAATACGTACTGGAGCACAAGAAGGATGAACGCTATTAAGCTAACTTGGTATGAAATGCTTTTCACTTTTCCAAATGGTACCTCGACTTTCTTTTTTTTCTCCAGCTAGTTATATTTTGGTTTCTTTCATAGTGCATGTGAGGCATGAAAATGTTACTAAAAGTTGTAGCTTAATGCGAGGCATTAACAAAATGCAAGACATGTTGTACTACCAAATTAACATAATTCTCTGAGTCCTACATTTGTCCTTTCCATGTTCTGATATTAACTTTATTTTAGAAAAGAAGCGTTACACGAACATGCAAGATGGAAATTTCTTCTGGTTACCTTCCAGCAATCTTAATTGTTTTCTCGCCAGTGGGTGTCTGAATATGTGACTGCTCTACAGGGAGTAGAATGGATATGTTTGGTATTTTTGCACCTGCATGATTTCCCATGTTAAATATAAATCAAGTTATTCCAATAATGAAGATATTTCCCGTCTATTTCAGTATGCACAGCAAATAGAAACAAGCTATCACTGAAGGGAAATTTTGAAGTGAATTTTAATCCACTAATATACATGTATGGCATTTCAAAACTCCATCACTTAAAAGAAGATTTGTATGTATCAAAATATTGTTTACCTGCAGCCAGACGATGCTTGAGACCCTTTAGGACAGTCAAAAGATATACCTGGTTAATTTTAAGAAAAAAGTATAAGAAAAGAAAACCACCAAACAAGTATAAGCAAAATTGTCTAGAAAATGGATGGGGAACCCATATAAACATTGCAATATTAGCCATTTTTAGGTTTAAATTCGTCTCATGTTTATAAAATGGGATTTTATATTTTTAAATGGATAATTATATGTTATAAATCATACACACGGTTCAATCCAGATACATAAGTGCACTAATTGCACTAAGAAACAAAACAAATCATATATATCATGATTGCTTTAATCCATACAAGGATTTGCTTAAGCTTTATTTAATAAATTTTAATATAATGTATAAGATTAGCAAAAAGGAATACAGAAAGATACATGAAAAGTAACTTTTAACTTCTCAAGTCTTAAAAACTATAAGGAATCCTGAAAGAGGGGGGGGGGGGGGGGGGGGTAGGAGAGAGAGAAGAGAACTTACAATTATTAGTAACTATCAATGATGCTAAAAACTAATTAAGCTCGTCAAGCTTAGAGCATTTTCATGTGAGTAAGATTTTACACAAGCTTACCTGAGCTGTATGAATGTGCAAATTCCTCGCATCGACAGCAACAGGATTTCCCTTTAAAGAAGTCAAAGGGATGGTCCCAAGTGAAGCTGCCTCCTAAGAAACAAGAATATTGTGCGAGATGATCCACCACAATAACCAACAAGATACAGTTGCATACATGATAAAAGACAAGTAAGATAGACCACGGACCTCAAGCAATGAAAAGGCACGGGGATCATATTCACCAAATCCATCAATCAAAGAGCACAGGTTTGAGCCCTTTGACGTTTCAACAGTTAATCCTAGATTCTCAATAAGTCTTTCTTTCAGTGATGCATCACGAGGAAGCTGTAGGCAACCCAGAACTAGTGATAGCTCATCCATTGTGGGTACCACACCAGCTGCAATTGTTTCCCTGTAGATCATTAAGGCCAACGATGTCCTGCAGACCAATTAAGAATTTCATGAGGAAAAAAAGAATTTTTTTTCTTCCTGGCCTCCGAAAGAGCTGTTTAGCCACTTAAGGGACGGATATCTTTTCCGATTCAATGACATATAGTTGGAGAAATAGGAAAGAGAGACATGAAAGATGTGATGATAAATCCACCAGCCTAAACATTTGAGATTTCAAATAATTCAGCCACAAATTTGCTAGGAAATAGTGACCACTATATGGACAAAGTCTTTTCCAAAGCCAGCGTGCTAATAACATTAGTGACATCTTTCATGTTTGCACTAAGCACAAGCAGTCCAGTCCCCTTATCCACTCAAGAAAAGAATATTCTTAAGACAATTTCTTACGGTGTGCCAAATTCCCTGAAATATGCTAACAGAATCGCAATGAGAACCAGTCTATCTCATTACATGAATGCAACAGTATGTTCAACATGGCATCTCATATAAACTACTTTTACAAAGAAATTGAGGGCATTCACTAAAAGATAATGTTACGTCCATCTTAATACACCACGCAGTTGGGCCTAAACATTTCAAAGCTTTCAGAATGCAGTATCTGATAAAACTAAAATAACAATAACAATAAAGAAAGGTGGTACAGTATCACTAGAGGCATTTTAGATGGAGATGTTGATCTTAAACATCATCATCACTGTAACAAAATATAATTTTCCTTCTGCTTTCCCTTTTTATTAGACATGTCAGAATCAATACCAGATTAAATAGAAGCATACCATTTACTGTCAAGCTGCAGGCGACCAGAGTTATAAGACAAGACAGGCTCACCAAGTGTACAAGCTTTCTGGAATCTTCTTAAGCACATAGCTACAAGAAAAATCCACATAATCAAATAATTGTGATGTCCAAAACAAATGACACAACAAATAGATTCCATTGCTACAGTAGAAGTGAAAAATAATGGCAGGACTAGAGAACATTCTTGTTATGAAGGACAAGAAAAAACAAAAACTGTAGAAGGTTGTGAGCCTCTTCTTTACAATGAGCAGGTGAGGGGCATGGTTACTGATACTGGCTTCACTAAGCATGCCACTCTAGTAGAAACTTAGATGATATCCTAAAAACATTCTTTACATTGGCACCATGGTGATATGCACAAAATTCCACACTAAGCACCATTCAGTTTTGAAGGAAGTACCTATAGCTAATGGTGTGACTAGCAAAAGGCCTTTCCCTCCATGGGTGATGCCAAGTTACGGCGGCACAATAAATTATAAACTTAGCAAAGACTGGGCCAAGAGATGGCATTTCCATTCTTTTGTGACAAGACAGAAATTTATTTGATAAAAACACCAAGTCGGTGTCAAAGAATGGATTTAGTGGAGTAACAACAGACCAAAGGAATCCAACTTAACCTAGACTGGTTAGGGAGATTAGTATCTCCACATGAGATTCACTTCCCTGCTCACTGCTAATTCCAGCATCTCTTAGCACCTTCACTAATTCTAATTTTCCAGGAGATCGTTATTTGGAGCCATAATGCTCCTGGAGCAGCATCCACTGAATAGAAGGCTTATTTAAGGGCTTGGAGGTTAGGTCATAGGCTCGTCCATTCGTGGCCACCGGATAAAAAGGACGTGAACAGAAAGTCCATCACTAGCTTAGAAACTCTTCTATGCACAGAGGTATCATCTTTTATGACCTTCATTTGGTCCAAGAATTGCTAGAAGGGGTCAATTAGATATAAATGCTCCAGCAGCAAAATCAACCGACGAGCAGGCTTATAAGCTATAAGGCCCTTCTAGCAATAAGGTAGGCTTATCCTTGTGTTTCCCCCATATAAGATGGACGTAGCCATAACTGTCACATAAGTAACAGTAGGTGCCAGGGAACCAAAATCTCTTAAAACTTTGTTCCCTGTACACCATAATATAGGTGCCTGATCCCATTGATGGAAGGATCAAATTTCAACTTGTTAATTTGTCAGATGGGCCTAAAACATACATCATTTGTTTAGTCTTTCCACCACTATGAACATATCCAAATAAAAGAAAAGCAGCCAATCCCTCTTGGTAAGGATGTTGTAGCAATGTACATCAAGTCAAGATACAATATAGCTTATGCGATCAATTGACAAGCTTATAATTCTTACCAAGTAGACCTCTGCACATAACAAGGTTTGGGGAAACGCCATCCTTTTTAGCATGAGAAAGAAGCATGAGGCCAATATCCAAGTCATCCTTTCTGTCATGAGATATAAGAGAAATAAATGATAAAACTCAGATATACCAAAACTGATATATTGACAGGAGATAGTGGTCATTATACATAAACCTCATTGTAAAGGAATCAAGCTATTACTTTTCACTTGCCACTAACAGAGTGGAGTATGTAATGGTGTTAGGGCATAGGTCCACTCTCTTCATTTCAGAAAAAATTTCCAGAGCCTTCTGATATTGATCAGCATCACCTATTACAAAACATCTCATTGAGGAAATTAAGCAAATACACAAGAACTGGGAACCAGCATACACAGACATCTACAAAGTAAAGTCGTCCTCCGTTATAAACATATTAGGTGTCATAGCAAAAAATAAGATGATGATCTGGAAAGCTTATAAAGCAATTATTGAAGCTAGATTCTGATTCATGAAAGGAACATCCAAATTAGCTCTAGCAATGGACTGAGACCACTTATAGGTATTGAATTATGAACCTTATAAAAATAAAAACTGATCAGGAGAAAGAAAAACAATAGAGTGTAGATATTTAGAGCCAAAACAAGCATCAGTGAAATGCTCTTACGCTGAGAAAAAGTTTTAAGAGAAATGTGACTTACATAATGCAGTTACCAATGCATTCATCATTGAAACGGTTGGTTTTAACTTGACGCCTTTAACATCCTCATACAATTCTAGTGCCTTCTGCCAGTTCTTTGCCTGCAGATGGATTTGAAAAGTGTTTTAAACCAAGTCACAAGATTTTGAAAGAAACATTAAGACCAATAGAGCCTCTGATGCACAAAGAAAACTAGCAGCATCTAAGGGTATTGGGGCTAATACTTGCTAGTTGATAGAATCAAAGTCCATGTTTGTTGAAATGACAGATATAACAGCAAAAACAGGTTCATTTTGGTGGCAGTGAAATATTTCACCTAACTAATGCTAGTAAGATATTTCTTTATTTTAGACAGAGAAGTGGGACATAACATGATATACATTCCAGCTTGTTTAAATATATGATCTTCGAAGGAATTCTTAACCTCAACCTGATACTGATTTCACTTGACGTATTGTTTCTTCTGCTATTCTTGGAAATATAGTAAAGGGAACTAGAGTTTATTAGTGCATTGGTTAACTATGGATCTCTTCCAACTATTTCCCTGTCTACAGTGTCTTCCCATGACTAGATGTTTCTCCTTGATGCTTTTCACAGTTTTAAATTCTCCTAAAAGCTACTTCAGGATTGGCAAAAGAAATACAGATAGAACACAGGTTGACTACTTCGAGGGCTTGCTTGGTAGAATAGTGACCGGTAACACATTTCTCCCTCTATATCTCTCCCTTCATTACGTGTCTGATGATCACTTCTTAGAAGCATCTATAAAACACAATAAACTACAAAAGTGGCATAAATATTACTATTGTTCACTGTCATAAAAGAAGGTAGCACACAGTGAATAAGACAAATTCTTTGGAGATTTAGGAGTCAACATGTCTTACTATTAAGCAACTAAATCCCAAACAATTGGTACATAAGCTACTTGATCACAATATATGAAAAAACAGAAGGCAGTGTCGCTTTTGCATAATGTATGTTTCTCAAAACTTCTCACATTGTTCCATGAAAAACTACATTTTGCCATACAGAAGCTTCATTAACCACAAGATATGGAAAAAAAGATGACAGTATTGCATATAATTTTGAACAAGTAAGCTTTATGATATTCTCATCCTATTACAGCATATCCAACTACACTGGGATCAAATCTACATCAATTTTGAGACCAAGAGCAGGTAGTACTCATTGATATCAATTTCCATCTTTAATTGCAAATTTAAGCCACAATATTGATATTGAGATCTCAATCGAAGAGGCAGATAACCGTAAACAGACAAGTTCTAGCCATCTATTTCAGAGATGAGAGAGAGCAGAAAGTAGAGATAGTACATTTGTCTATATGAAGAAACACAAAGAGGAATGTTCATACATTACTACAGGCTCCCATCAATGAGCTATATGACATAGATCCCACATTTATGCCTTTAGTCCTGGCTTCTTCTAGAACACCAAATGCAGCATCCAACTTACCAGCGTGCCCTGCCACGTCTACCAGCGCACTGATAAACATCTGCACAAATAAACGAAACTTTAAGTTTTTAAAAATATACGGTAAAAAATCTCAGTGGCAAAGTTTTGATTTAATGCTGACAAAATGATGTAATGATAGATGCATCAAGCTCTGATTTCTGCAACAAGGTTGAGAAGCAATATTATGGAGATAGGCCAACAAAATTTAAGAGTTTCAAGTCATCAAAATGTAAAATAGTTTACTGACATGCAAACACAGCAGTTTAAAAATTACTACCTCATCTGGATAAACACCTTTTCTAGTCATGTCATCATAAATGCTGCGCGCAAAATCCCAGTTACCATTTTGACTACAACAATTTACAGCAATCGTGTAAACCTCTGCTGTGCCCTTGATATCATATTTATCAATCATACGGTAAACATCCAGAGCTCGATCAACCTAAAGCAATTTATATGTCCGTGGTTAATCATGATAGAAGAGCAGAAATGTGGGAACATCAGTCCCATTCAACCAAGATATAGATTTTTAAGCGAAAACAGAATGCACGTATACCTGACCGGCATTTGCACATGCTTTCATCAGAGCCCCAATAGTAATCTGATCAGGTTCTATTGGTCGTGCTTCTGCTTTCATCTCAGATAAGACATCAAATGCACGATCCACTGCTCCTGATTGACCACAAGCTGTGATAAGAGCATTGAATACAACACGATCTGGCTTCACATTCTACTGAATACAACATGAATCCGACATGAGATATTTGGCGGTCTAGGTACATGTCACTTTTCAGTATGATTTGGTAAATAATAAACTGATATGAATGAAATGTTAAAGCAATACCCTCTAAAATTGTATGCCCTAAGTAGATAAATTTATACCTTAGATCTCATTATACCATAGGCACCGAAGGCCTTCGCAACTTGTCCAGCTTTAGCACACCCATCAATAAGTGCACCATATGTATTAACATTTGGTTCAACTCCAGCATTGACCATTTCATGAAAAACCTACAACTTCAGAAAATATCAACTCGAAAGATTGCATATAAGGTGCAAGGATAGGCAATAAGATTCAAAGAATTCATGCAGGTTTACTTCTATAAAAAACAAGATGCAACTAATGGGAGCAGCATATCAACTATCATTCAGTCTAAAAAGCAATTATGAGAAATGTCGTGAATTTGTTTCTCCCCTTTAAAGTACTCGTTGACGTCGTTGTCCCGTTGCAGATATTGTTATGACTTAAACCCAAGCTATATAAGATCGGCTGTATGAAACCCTCACTATACATGTCGCTCCACTTAGACCTATCCTATACTATGTTGCTTGAACTCTCCGAAAATGTCGTCAGGTGCGTTGGGGTGTGTCATACCCTCCAAAGGTAGCATTTTTGGAGGATCCGACATAGGCAGCAAAATTTTGGAGAGTCCACGCAGCATAGATACCCAGATCTAATATTCAATAATTTGGATTCTAGAACACTAAAAGTTCTTTACATTTTTCTACATACAAATCTCTAAAGTCAATAAGACTCCTAGTGAACGTCGAACATATATGTATCTTTTTCATCTTTTTTTTTCTACACATGGATTCCAAGAGATTGTAGGTCTTTCCAGAGAACTTCCTCTCATGTGATTTTAGGTGTGTACCGTGTCCCCTTTTAACACCTTCATCATGGTTTCACCCCTACGAACCGTGCATCTGGAAGTCGCCGTAGGACAAAACCAAGTCATTTTAAGTGAGTTCCTCTCATTATAATCTAGTTTAAATCTTGTTTAATCGAACATCCAACTTAACATCCACATTTGCAACACATATCTTGGCCCTTAGAGGCCCAACATTCACTCACATAAACAGGATATTTAAACATTAAATAAGAAAAAAGACCCTTGAATGAAAATCACAGATAAGCTATAAATATAACATTTTTTCATGAGAAACCACAATCGAAGCACTTACCTCAAACATGGTATCAACTTTCCCAGATTTTGCACAAGTTGATATAAGAGTAGTGTAGAGCTTGCAGTCAGGTTTCAGTCCAGTCTCACGGACAAGTTGAAGCACTCGAAAAGCACCTAAGCAAACAAAATAACTTGACCATAATTACGATGGGATAAAGACAAATGGTTGTATTTTCCGAAGAAATTATTGAAGTTCGATTTCCAAAGTCTAAGGAAAAAGATAACATCCCCTTGCACTTTGTCCCTCTATCCGCGTCAAAGAACCTTACACAAAAAGAAACAGGAATAAGTACCAAGAGAGAAAACTTACCCTCCAAATCCCGTGAGCTTGCACATACAGACAAGAGCATATTGAATGTGCTTAGAGTTGGATTTTGGATAAGCTTGGTGAAACGGAAAGCTTCCTTCACTGCCTTTTGGCTTTTACAGGCTTGGAAGAAACCAGCATGATACACCTGTAATGGGATCTTTAACAAATTACCAACAAACCAAAGTTCATAAATAGAATATGAAGTGAATATAAGCAGCAGTTTACTTTATCCATATTCAATGAACCGTGCCTTTCCATATTGTCAAGCATTTCTATGCAGTCCATCAACCTGCAGCAGGAATTCTTGTGTGTGAGCTTGAATGGCATAAACAAGAGCAACAGACAGGATAATATTTGGACATTAGAAGTGTCATTTTTATTATAAGTACATCAGAAATACTCCCTCCATTTCAATTTAGATGTTGTAGTTTGACTTGGTACAAAGTTTAAGAAAAAAAAAAGATGTCCTAAAAGCTTAAGGGGCAAAAGCTATGTGGGGCCATGACATTTGTGTGGCCATAAAAGCTTCTGATTAAGGGTAAAGTTGGTAATATAAAATTTTAAAGTTAAATTGTTTCCAAATATAGAAATGTGCCATTCTTTTTGGAACGGACTAATAAGGAACGTGTATCATTTAAATTGAAACGGTGGGAGTATCATTTATTATGTGCTAATCTTTTCATGGAATATTATTGATGGCCTACGACCAGTCCAAATANAAATTTTAAGAACTGAACCAGTAATGTTATAAACCGAGTAATCACGGAGCTTACCTCCTTGATATTGGCATTTCGTTTTGGAAAATTCAAAAAAGATGATTGTAAGAGCAGAGATAGTGACAACGGCAGCAACAACCACAACCGATTGCGAATCAAGAGAAGCTCTGAGGACAAATCGTGAAGAGTGAGCGCTGAATTGAAAGCCGATATTTCGGCATTTCCTCCGCGAGCGAAGAAAACCAGGGGGCCGTAAATTATTATGGCTAGAACCGAAGAGGCATTGGCGGCGGCGAGGAATAAGAGAAGAGGAGATTGGAGAGCAAGAAATTAAAGAAAGCGTGTGAGGTTTTGGAGAGAAGATTGAGTCCATGAAATTGGAAGATTTGGAGAAGAGGAAGTAGTGGGAGTGGAGGAGAGGAGGGAAATGAGTATTTGTTCATCTTGAAGATAGCGTGATGACTGGATAGGAAGTTAGGAGCTGACGGAAGGAACGATGTTTGCTAACGTGGCCTGTTTAGTCATCAGTGTATCGAAATCTGAGCCGTTAGAAGATATCTTATTTTATTTTATTTCTTTTCTTTTTGTAATGAAATACAAAATCCAAAAAGGGAAACAATACTTCCAACCCCGAACATATATGGAAAGGTATTTAAATAAAG